ATGTTCAAAGTGACAGAAGCAGACAAGAGAGTAAAGCAACAAATCACACTTGGGATCAGGAAACCCTTGACTTATCTCCTTATACTAAATTTCCTTTTACTTAAGTTAGTGTGAATTGGTTTCTGCTATCAGCAACAAAAACTACATTGATTAAAACCATTGTACTCATTCTGGAGTAATGATTTTAAAACAGCTTAGAATCGCCAGGGGCTCATCATGCACAAGACAAAGTCCTGGGTGTGCAAAGGAAGCTGAGGTGAAGTAGGATACTGTCCCAGACCCTCAAGAATTGACAAACTAGCCTGGAGGGAGAAACAGCTCTGTACAAGACAGTGTGAGATGTAATGAGAGAAGTATAATTGTGCTGTGTTCGCAAAAGAGAAAGAACTTGAATTCACTTGTAAGTTTGGAACTTCCCAGATATCATGCCTGCTAGTCTCAGTGCAGCAGCTGACATTTGGAGGCTATGAAGAAAGGGTTAAAAAAAAAAAAATCAAAGTGCCACCTTCCTGCAAACAGTTAAAAGGGGCTATGCTATGCTTGTGGATGAAGTTACTTGGTAGAATTTTTTACTACCTTGCTTCAGCATGAATAAGAAAAACAGAAAAGTGTAATGCTCAAATTTATTCCAACGCCTTTTTCATTTTTTAAGTGTAGTAAAACATAAGCTTTTCTAAGTTCATGAATAATCAGAAATGTAAATGATTTTACCCTACAAAACCATTCTGAATATTGGTTATATCATTAAAAAAAAAAGAAAGTGCCTAAACTGTCATCCCTAGCAGATTGCCTTGTTGCTGTTCCTGCCAACTTCTATGAAATATTTGCGTTCTGTTCCAATTCTCAACAGCAGTAAATAAGGAAGTAATGTGGCTGGTTTCCGTTTTTGTGGCTCAAGATTAAGTTGGCTGAGGAAATGGCTGTTTGCAGAAATAGTTCTGGGATAACTCAAAGGGAGGAAAACACTGAGGCCCAGATGGTATTGGCTTTTGCTCCAAGTATACTGGGATATTAATGCTCCAGTCTCCATAATTAAATGTGTTCTAGGCTGTATTTACAGCTCATCTGCTCTTCTCTGCCTGCATTGTTACAGTGGAAAAATGGAGAGGTTCCCCTCTCTCTGCCACACAAATGGTCAGAGTGGCATTCTGAATTGGCAAAGGGGGGAAAAGCAAAGGAAGATCCAATTTTGTTAGCAGATTGTTAGCACTCCTCTATTCTTTGCAAAGAACAAACAAAGCTGTTCTGCTTATAGTGAAGCATTTTATAGGAACCTATAACATAAAAGGGTAAGATTTTAAAAGAAATCACCATTTTGAGGGCCATTTTCTAAAAAGTTCTGATTAAAACAGCTCCTGCGTTCCCAGTGGTATCTTGGAGCCGTCACACACCTCCTAACTGGCACTTTGGCACTCTGCTCTGACTGTAACATATTTTCGGGCACACTGAGGAACACCTTCTGCATTTATTGGAGCTTTGTTTTAAACCCAGGAGTATTTGTTATACTTACAAGTTTTATTCTTTTTGCCATGAGCTGAAGCTACTAGATGCAAATGACAAAAACACTGATATAACAAGTTTGATTTATGATCTCCATATCCATTTTTTTAAGTTTGAAAAATACCCCAGTATCCAAAACTCAGTATAACTGATAAGAACAGGTACTATACTTAGCCAAAAGGCCGAGAAGTGATAAAATTCACTGTAACTAAAACAGAGCTCCTCACTCCCATCCTCAGATCTACTTGCTCGGCATATACATAGCTTGAATTATAGTTACACAATAGAATTCTTCCAGTTTTTCAAGGTCAAAGTTATAGGATCACTACAGCTTGGTGGTTGGAAGCACTGGAATTAAGAGTGCCTGATTCTATCACTAGGTAAAGTGGTGGGTTTGAGAGGCCTTAGTTTTCACATCTACTGAATCAGGTTATTAATAATAAGCACCTCATAGGGTAACTGTGAGCTACTCTTTGAGGTGAAGTAATATGGGTACATTATAAATACATATTATTGTTATTATTAGTCCAACTCCTAGATGTTTTTCAATTAAGTCCTACGTCCCTAACCTAGGTCATAGAAATTCTACCTTACCTGGATATTACACTATCCTTTTAATTTCCAAATGGGACTCCTTAACTCCAACTATACCCCTTGGATGTCTCAAATACTGCTCTCTCAGAATTGGCCCCAAACACAAATCCAAGAAAGTCAAAGAGATTTCGAAACCATTGGCGATTTTCCATTGCCTATGAGATAAGTTTCAAATTCTAGTCTGGCATGCATAATTATCTAGGAATAGAATCAGGTGGCAGAATAGAAGTTGCTAGAAAGAGCCCAACAGTGCCTGCATGAACAAGAATTGCTTCTTAAAGGAATAAATAGATTTAGAAGTCAAGTCTGGCCTTTACTTATGCCTGTCACTAATTAGCTATGATTTTGAGTGGTCTTAGTTTCCTTATCTCGAGGCTGATTATCATTTTCATTCCTTTCTTTGCTTAAATTCTGAAATCTTCCCAGCTTTCGTGACTGGCTTGGCCTTAACTACACCTGTTTTACTCTCTATTCTCTCCAAATAATTTTTCACCCGAAGTTCTAGTTACAGTTGTTCTTTTGCTTAAAGCTTCCCGCCCCTCCAGACCAATATCCTGTGGAAATTTGACCCTCTCTACAACAGCCAACTGAAATTTCACCTTATTCAAAAGCCTTTCACTTAAACTCTCATCTCTACCCTCTTAATTTTGAATGAATTTCTTTTGCTGTTAGTACCCTAGCCCACTTAAAGTACCTGATTCTAAGACTTACCACTTTCTTTCTGTATCAGTTATTTATTCATCCAAAACTGTAGGCTTAGATGACACAGTTAAAAACCTCAGTCCTTGGCAAAGGACTGGATTTACACAATTCAAACAATTTGAATTTAGAGACTCAGCAACTTGGTAGTCAGAAAGGTACTTGCTACAAACTTCTCACTGACTTTCCGGAGTCTCAGCCTCTGGAAACTGTTAATGATTTGAAGATATAAAAACAGTCACTATTTAAAAAAAATTTTAGTGGGCAGAAAACTCTAGAAAGAATGTTATCTATAATTTGTTTTCTCAAACTGCAATTAATTCTTGGACCGATTACATCAAATTAATCTGTGGTGCTTGTTAAGGATGACATCAAATTAATCTGGGGTGCTTGCTAAGGATACAGATTTTCTGGCCTCACTCAGACTTATTGACTTGGCTATTCTATAATGGGGGCCTGGGCACCAGCATTTCATATTGCATATAGTTTTAATGATTTTCAAATCAAGTTTGTAGTTCTTTTGATTGTCATAACAATATTGTAATTTGGTGATTCTCAAAGTGTGTCATACCTTGTCTGGGGGTGGTTTCCCTGAGACTTTTTATTTATTTATTCTTTAAAAAAGATTTTATTTATTTTTAGAGAGAGAAGGGAGGGAGAGGAACATCGATCAGTTGCCTCTCAACAGGGGACTAAACCCACAACTCAGACATGTGCCCTCACAGGGAATCAAACTGGCACCCTTTTGCTTTGTGGGGTGACACCCAACCAACTAAACCACACTGCTCAGGGCTCCATGAGACTTGTTAAATATGATTTTTCAAATCAACTTTCATAATAATACAAGCACATTATTTGCCTTTTTCACTCTTTTTCACACAATATGTTGCAATTTTCCAGAAGCTACATGGTGGGTGATAATCACAATGAATGCAGGAGATTGAGAATCTAGCTGTTTTCTATTAAGCCAGATATGAAAAAGACTTATAAAAATGTGAAACAATGGCTTCTTTTAAGAAGCGACAATTTTATATACAGACATTAAAATCATGATTCTTAAGCCATGAAATGTAGTTGAAGAGACTTGGGTTCTGAAAGGGCCAAGTCCCTTCACTTCACTAGGACTGTTTTTCAGGACTGTACAAGGAGGGGTGTCTGTAATGCCTTTCTTTCTGGCTGTCAATCCGGTTTCGTGCATTCACACTGGTGGGAGGTGATTCTTTCCGATGAGGGGTCAGTTGCAAACTTAGCGGTAAGTCAGAGCATGTCATTTCTCTGCGTACAAACCTTCAATTGTTTTTCATTGCTTTCTAAATAAAAGCCAAAATCCTTGTCCTGGCTCACAGACCCCACAAGATTTTGGCCTGTTTCAGTCTCTGGTTGCATCTTCCTCTTTTCGCTTCAGTCATTCTTCTTTTTCTTGACCTCGCTAAGTTTATTTCCACCAAAAGGCCTTTGCACTTGCTATTTCTTCTGCCTTGAATGCTCTTCTCCAGACGTCCATAAGGCTTATTCCCTCACTTTGTTCCATCACATTATCCTGTTTAATTTTCTTTAAAGCTTTCACTACCCTCTTATAAATGATTTTTATTTTTATTATTTTTTCAATTATAGTTACATTCAATATTATTTTGTATTAGTTTAAGATGAACAGCCTATCATACACTTCACCAAGTGTCCCCCCCAATATTTCCAGTATCCACCTGGCACGGTACAAAGTTATTCCAATATTATTGACTATATTCCCTATAGCTGTACTTTACATCCCCATGGCTATTTTGTAACTACTTCGTAATCCCTTCACCTTTTTCACTCAGCCCCCCGACCGCCCTCCCTGTTTGCTTTTTCAGGGTCGGCCTCTACACTAGAATGTCGACTACTCGACAGCAGGGCCACTGTTGGCTCTAAACCAGTGCGTCTGTCCCAAGCGCCCGGGGTAGTTCCTGGCAGTTAGCGCTCGATAAGTAAATACGGGGTGGTCAACTCCTGCAGCTCAGGCCACGCCTTCGGAAAAAACCCGCGGACACACTAGTTCCTTTCACGTCGTGCCTCAGCCCACCGCTCTGAACGCAAGCCTTGGCCACCCCGGCAGCTCCCGGGCAGTGACCCCCACCAAGCTTTTACTCACCAGTACGGCGCCAGGCCCTTTCCGGCTGGAGCGCCTTGACCCGGAAGTGCCCTGGACTAGGCGTGGACTACTCTGCGCGGAAAGAATACTTCCGGGGTAATAGGAGCAGCTCGTCGGCAACAGTGGCGGCGGTGCGGGCAGCAGCAGGCTAGGTGCGGGGCTTCCAGGGAGGAGGCTGGTTGGGTGCGGGGTTCCGGAGCCGCCTCTCCGCGGCGGGGGAGGGAGATGAAGCGGTGTGGGGCTAGGCGGCGGATGCCTCGCGGCCGGACGCTGAGGCTGCGGAAGCGCTTTGGTTTGTGAAGCGCTACATTTGTATTAGGAAAACTGGTCTTGGGCTAGACGTTGTCAACTTTGTGCTTATTTACACTAGACTTGTTTTTGTGTCTGGGAAGACGTGAGAGCGCATATTGTCCCTCTAGAGACAGCTTATTAATAGCGATATTAATCATGTGAACAACCACAAGTACTGTCAGTAGCTGACCCAGCCTCTGCTCCAAGCCCCTCAAGTACATCGTGCCATTGAATGTTTATATGAACCTTGCCAAATAGCTATTATGGCACTATTCCTGGTAGCATTTTGCAAACGAGGAAACGGATTCGCAGATGGGTGAAGAAACTGCCTCACAATTACTGCAGTACAGAGTCGGCAGGAAGTCGCTCTAACTCCAGAGCCCGAGCTCTTGGTTACTAAACTAAATCTCTTTCCATTCTGGTAGCTGTGTGGCTGGAAGTTCTACAAGAAAATGGGAGTGGGGATGGGTGTGTGTGTGTGTGTGTGTGTGTGTGTGTCAAGTGTATACATTTTTCCTTTTTAAAAAATGACTCAGCCATTTAGTTTTGCTTGTAAGGTCCCAGTTCTTGGAGTCTTTCTCCTCCAATTAGGAAAATAACACACTTATTACAGAATACTTGGAAAACTTACAAAAGCATTAAGTAGTGCCAATCCATGTACTTGGTATTTATTCCTCTCCCCACCTTTCCTGCTAGATTATGAACCCATTGAGAATAGGGGTGGTGCAAGCCATCTAATAAGGAATAAACAGCCAGCACGACAAAAACTCTTCCCACCTAGCTCAAAAGTCTAGCACATTCTAGATGTTCATTAAGTCTTTATTACACAAATGAAAGAATAGTGATAACCAGTGTTTAGTGTGTTACAGTGTGCCCTTCCAGCCTTTTATAAGATTATAGAAATTACATAGTGTATATATACTATGTGTAATATGCTGTGTTTAAATGTATATATATATATATGTATTACTGTGTGTTTGGAGAGAGCATAAGGAGAGTGAAAAATATAGTTAAAAAGTACATATTCAACTACATAAAATATTAATTAAATTTCATGCCAGAACGGTGTAGTCTTTCCTTTTAGGTGCTTGAAGTAAGTGGGGCAGAGATTGTATCTTTATTTCTCAGTCTCCAGAGCTTGGTACCTAGTAGGTACTCAACAAATGTTTGTAAGGGAATGAATGAATGAAGGAGTATTACAGACTTGGTTTATATGTCTACAGATAATTGTATCTAGATTATTTTTTCCTATGTGTTTTGGGAATTATAAAGTATATATATCATATAGCCATATGACCTAGGGCCCATGGTGTTATAAAAATCTTTCTAGCTTGTGCTTTCCCACCATTCTCCTCCCTGCCATATTTGCCACTGCTGACGTCTGTCCCTATTCCATACTGTCAGACCTCAGGCCTTTGAGCTTTCCCATGTGCTGTTTCACACCCTCGAACTCTCTCATCGACGTCTTCATCTGTCAAAATCCTGAGTGCTCTTTAAAGCAGGTGTTGCAAGGTCAGATGCTTGTAGGGGCTATAAACAGGTTGATTTGGGTGGAGATTATTTGTAAACGAAGTTTGAGTTTTAGATGTTAGCAATTAATATTAAAAAAGGTTTAAGCCCTGTGCAGGTCAAATAAAACCATCTGCAGGTTGGTTTTGACATTTAAAAATCCTTGTTTGTGGCCAGTATTCTATGTTTATTTCAGACATGTTGTCCATGAATATTATTCCTTATTTCTAGCAGGCTTCTCTCTCTATATTTCAGCATTTTGTGTATACCTCATTTATAGAACTCCTTCCAAGGTGCCTTAATTGTTAACACATCTCTCTTTTATAGTGCATTAGAAATATTTTTATGGCATGGATTATGTCTAATTCTGCACTTAGTATATAGTAGTACAAAATCTGTGCTTATACATACATAAGGTCCCATTGTGTGTATATGTATGTATGTATGGAATACATATATTTCTTCTCTGGTGAAAATTTGGGTGTCCTGCAAACTAACATCAGCTCTTTGTAAAAACACCGATAGTATCTTGGCTTTAATTGTGAAACAGCTATACTTCTGGAAAGAATTTAATTGGTTAACATTGCTATTCAGTTGCTGGTCTGATGTAAATCATATATGATGGAATGATTAATGACTAAAAACATTTTTTAAAATGTCAGTATAAAAGGAAAAATTGATAAATTGGACCTCATTGAAATTAAAACATTTTGCTTTGTGAAAGATGCATTAAAGAGGATGAAAATATAAACTACAAACTGGGGTGAAATATTTGCAAACCACATATCTGACAAAAGACTTGAATGTAGAATATAAAAGGAGCTCGAAATTTCACATTAAAAGATAAAATCCAATTAGAAAATGAGCAAAAGATACAAATAAATATTTCACTGAAGAATATGTACAGGTGGCAAATGAGCACATGAAAAGATGTTCAGTACTATTAGCAACTGGAGAAATGCAACTTAAAGCCACAGTGAGATATTACACACCTATCAGAATGGGTCAAGTAAAAAATAATACTACCAAATGCTGGTAAGAGTGTAGAGAAACTTGATCACTAATACATTGCTGGTGAGAATGCTATTTTGGAAAAGAGTATGACAGTTTCTTAAAAATTTGAATAAGTACTGGTGATGGTGCTCTTGGTCATTTGTTCCAGAGAAATGAAAGCTTACGTTTTCATGAACAGTTGTCCATGAATATTCATATCTGTTTTATTTGTAATAGTCCCAAACTGGAACAGCTCTGATATTCTTCAACAGTTAAATGGTGAAACAAACAGATACAACCATATCAAGGAATAATACTACTCAGCAATAAAAAGGAGAAGCTGTTAGCACAACAACTTCGATGGATCTTGAGGGTCCTATACTAAGTGAAAAAAGTTGATCTCAAAAAGTTACATACTCTATGATTGCATTTATAAAACATCTTGAAATGACAAAATTATAGAGATGAACAGACTAGTGGTTGTCATAAGATAGGAGGAGGATGAGATGCAGCTATAAAAGAATAACCCAAGGGATCCTTGTGATTAAACGTTTCTGTATCCTGACTGGTGATGATCACAGAAATATATATATGATAACTTTTTGTAGAACTGATTACACATGCACAAAATGAACTGTTGAAATCTGAGTAAGGTTGGCAGATTATCAATATCCTGTTTGTTATATTATACTATAATTATACAAATTGTTACCATTGGGGGAAACTGAGTGAAGGGTATGTCAGATTTCTCTATTATTTCTTAAACTTGCATGTGAGTCTGTGGTGATCCCAAAATAAAAGTTTAAAAATAACTTACGCAAAAAAGCCTATATAGTTAGTTTTTTCTTGGGCCTTTATTTTACCAGGTGATGATCTAATCATGTCGGATAAAGATGATATTGAGACTCCAGTGACAACTGAAGCAGTCCCCAGCCTTGAAGATGGGAACTCTGAGCCAGCCAAGAATTCTGAGTCTGTTGACCAAAGTATCAAGCCAGAGAGTAAACCAGAACCTGTAGTTTCTACTAGAAAGAGACCAGAATCCAAACCTTCCAGTGACCTTGAAACTTCAGAAGTTCTTCCTATTCAAGCACCACAGGCTGCAGGCAAAGTAGAGTGTCTGTTAAAAATTGAGATTAAAAAATGATAGGGTTAAAAATAATTTGGAATCAATGTCAATTTAGGATTATACCTTTTTTTATAACCATAAAACAATATTCTCAGTTTTGTAACTGAGTAATTGTCTTTGCTGTGTGGTGCTTACATGCAGGTTACATATATCTGTCAATGTAACAATATATTTCTTTAGCCAAATAATATGTATTTGTTTGCTCATACTTTTGGCCAGTAATTAGATGCTTTGTGTATAGACTCTTATTTTCCTCTAATTTTTACATTTTCTTTTGCCTTTTGTTTTTCTGGATACTGGGAAAAATAGGAGACTGTTTCCAAAGATGTACCCCAGACTGGATGGGGTTATTGGGGCAGCTGGGGCAAGTCCTTGCTTTCTTCAGCCTCCGCTACAGTAGCCACAGTAGGTAAGGTCGTCAGCTATTTTATTAATTTTTATGTGTATTTTGCTGTAGATCTGTGTTAAAAGTGATTTTATTAATTTCTGTTTTATGTTTACTTGATTGTTTGAGGATGCATTAGTAATGAGTATTACAGCCACTAGAATTTGCAGCATTTTCTCCTTGCAAAGTTGATGTTTAGGACTTGTTAATATAAAACTATTCTTTGGTGACAATGAATTATTTTTTTTTCTTTTGGTAAGGATACATTTTCCAAAATTATGTAAGCTCAAAAATAACATGTTTCTGTGGCTACAATGAAATTAAAAATTCATGGGTTTGACTTTTGGTTTGTTTAGATTTAGTGACTAATAGCAAGTAATATTAAAATATAAAATATTTTATAAAATATTTTATAAAATATAAAATATAAAATATTGAAATATAAAATGTTACCGTTTTTCTCGTTAGGACAAGGTATTACAAATGTCATTGAGAAGGCAGAGATTTCCCTTGGAATCCCTCCTCCCAGTGAAATTTCAAGTGAGGTCCAATATGCAACAGGTCAGTATATGGAAACATGAAGACCTAGAATTATGTATCAAAATGGAAAGGTTGACCTCATTTTTTAGTAGAAAATTATTGAGTGTCCGATATTCAGGGCATGATAGAGGACTGGTAAGAAAGGGCAGTTGGAATCTTTGGCTGATAGAAGTCTATGTCATTTCACCACTCATGTATCACTTCACTTTTTTCATCTGTGAAATGGGATGATATATATTTCAAAGGATTTTTATAAACCTTAAATAAATAAGGCCATGAATGTAGAATGTAAAAATTGGCCATTATATTGCTTGCCACAATTAGAGTTTAGTAAGAGCTGAATTCGAAACTATCATACTACAAAAAAATATTTTAATGTGTTAATTTTGGGGGTGTATTTTTGTGCTTGGACTTTTATGAAGGTGAAATGTAATTTTAGAGGCCTGCCTTGATCAAGTAGAAAACTTTTAAGCCTAAAGAACAGAGTTATAACCAGGGATCAAGAAGGCCGTGCATCATAAAATAGAAAGCTTTTTCAGGGCCTGAGTTTGCTTCTTCATACCTCAGGGGCTTTATTATCTCCCATTCTTGCTTTTCTCTGCTCATCTCTGTCATTTTTCTTTCTAATCACTGACTTTCTCTGCTTGTTGTCCTCCTGCTCCAGCTTTATATTGAGTCCTAATGTAAGTACCCATCAGGTACTGTTTGGTATCAGTTATTTCCATTTTTTAATTCCCAGGAGAGAGAATTATATTAACCTAAGCTTGGGTCACGTGCCCTTGCAAGGTCAACTCTGGTTACAAGACAAGATCCCATTATATAACATGACCGTAAAGGACCACACGAATGAGTTGGCAACAGTGTTGTTAGTGATATCTGCATCAGGCTACTTTGGTTGCAAGGAACAGAATATGTGACCAAACGTCAGTTTATTTTTCTCACGAGAACTTCAGAAATAGGCTGTTCCAGAGTTAGTGGCTCATTGATGGCAGAGTTGTGCATTGGATTTTCTGCAATTTTCCTTGTCTCTTTGTGGATGCCAGATAATACTGCAGCTCCAAGTACAGTGTTCTAATACATTTGTGCTCAAAGTCAGGAAGTTAGTGGATGCCGTTTATCCTTCCTTTGAAGAGGAAAAGTTTTCCCAGCAGCCCCTGGCATATTTCTCAGATTTCATTGGCTATAACAGGATCTTGTGTTCTTGCTGTAGCAGCAAGAGGTGCTGGGAGAGTGAGTTTTGGTCATAATAATAAATCTCCATATCAGGAGGTAGGCTTGGCAGGAAAGGAAAAGGAGATTAGAAATGGCTTCGGATAACTGCAGTGTCTTTCACAAGACCTAAAAGTGTACCACACAAGCCATGTTTTAAGAAGGGCATTGAAAAATTGGAGTGGGGGGAAAAAAAGAACTGGAGTGAATCTTGAAAAAAGTGAGCCAATAGAAGTACTGTTTTACGAGAGAAAGTTGAAGGCATCATGGATATTGAATCTGGAAATCTGGAAAGGGGAGATTGGGAGAATAGATTGACTCTTCTTATGTGTCTGAAGACTACTCTGGAGAACAGGTTTATTATTTGTGGCTCATAAAAAGAGAACTATTACTATGGGAAGTTACATGTACTTAGATTTTAGTTTAATAGTGAGTTTTTGAAATTTAATTTAATTTATTTTTAGAGAGAGGTAGGGAGAAAGAGAAGGAGAGAAACATCAATGTGTGGTTGCCTCTTACAGGCACCCTACGGCCAGCCCAGGCATGTGCCCTAACTGGGAATTGAACTGGCAACCCTTTGGTTCACAGGCTAGCACTCAGTCCACTGAGCCATACCAGCCAAGGCTGATAATGAGTTTTTTACAGAGTTAAAGTGATAAAGAGAACTAAAATTCCTGAGGAGGGGGGTTAATTCCTCTGCTTAAGGGTGTTGTAGCTGGGAAGTTTCTTTTCAGGATTTTGATGGTAAACCAGAGGCCACCAGTGGAAATCATTCAGTCATCTTTTAGGGATGGGACAGGGTGGGTGGAGTGTTTGATCCAAAGACTGTGGTTGAATATACCTGATAATGACAGGAAAGACGAGTAATCAAGGAAATAAGAAATAGGTGGTGTAACCTGGGATTCACACTATTTGTTAAGAGTTTACCCTTCAAGTGTCCTATCTTTATTCTTTTATGCTTTTTAACTCCACAGTCCTTTGCCATTTCTAAAACTGGCAGAATATGAGAAATGAGTACACTAGTGGGTTAAGGAATAAAGCATGTATTATGCTTGCATTTGCATCAAATGCTCATTTCCCTTCCTGGTGTAATTAAACATTATCTTCAGGCATCAAAACTATGGTAGGAAGATTATTTTTCTGAGCTCAGTTGAACCTACTAATTTATTCAGCAAAAATTTATTGAGTGTCTACTCCTGTGAGGCACTATTTTAAGTGCTGTGGAGATATCAGTGAACAAACCAAACAAGGTCTGTACTTCAGGGGTAAAATGAAATGAAAGAAATAGAGAGGTTTTTCATTTTGAATCTAATGGATAAACCCATTGTTGAAAGAACTAACCAGAGCACAAATCAAGTGAAGCCAGATGTGGTTGAGGTTCAAGCAAAGGACTGGAAACTTTGAGCAATTAACTTACATTTTCATGAAGGAAAATATTTGAGTTGGATCTTGAGAATGGGTATGGTTTTGACAGATGGAGAAGCTGTGGTGCAGGAATTTTGAGGTTAAGGGAACAGCATGTATAAAAAATTAAAAAAGCAAGAGGGCATGAAGGTATCTGGGGAAGAGAGAAACCCAGGATTTGTGTAGGGGTAAAGGAGAGACAAGCCTGAAGAGTGGGTTACATGTGCTAGAAATTTTAGTTCATCAAGAAAATCACTTTAAAAAAACTTTGAAAATAGCAATGTTCATTATAAAAAAACTTAGTTAAAAAAAAAGAAAGTTACAAGCAGGTAAGTGAAAAAATCAGATTCTATCCAGAAGTAACATTTGGCAGGTCATTCCAAATTTTTTTTGTGAATGTGAGTAAGCACATTTAGAAAACTGTAATTGTATCTACTTTTAGAAATGACCTACCTTTTTAAAAATCCATCATGTTCTGTGTCAGTAACATGCCAACATCATTTTTAATAGCTGTAGGGAATTCCATATATGTAGGTGTATATTGAATATATAATCACTTTTTGAAGCATTATGCACAATTAAGTATAATATTCTCATACTTATGTCTTTTTGCAATTAGTTTTTAATAGAAAATTCTAAACCTGGAATTGCTGAGTCACAGGGTACTCTCAGATAAACTTGAGATGCAATTTGGCAGATTACTGTCTAAATAACATTCTTTGAAGAGGGAAAAAAAAGGAAAACCTTTTCCCCCATTTATACTCCATGTATGTTTAAGAATGTGCAGGGGAGTCTTGTATATTTATCCACATAATTACCGTTTCTGTTCACCATTCTTTTGTTCACCAGCTGATTCCATTTCTCTTCAGCTTTAAGAATTTCCTTTACATTTCTTATTAGTGCAGATTTGTTGACAGTGAGTTCTCTCAGATTTTGTTTGAAAAAAATTCTCAAGATATTCACTTATTTATTTATTTATTTTTAGAGAGGGGGAAGGGAGGGAGAAAGAGAGGAAGAGAAACATTGACATGTGAGAGAAACATTGACTGGTTTCCTCTCATGTGTGCCCCAGTGAGGGGCCGTACCTGTAAACCAGCCATGTTTTCTGACTTGGAATCGAACTGGCAGCCTTTTGCTTTGCTGAATGATACCCAACCATCTGAGCCACACTGCTTGGAGCTGTTTGAAAATGTTTTTGTTTATATTTTTAAGGATTTATTTAGTTTATCCTTCCATTTTTAAGGCTAGAATTCCAGGATGACATTTTTTCCCCCTTTCATCACTTTAAAAGTGGCATCTAACTGTGTTCTGGCTTACATTCTCTCTGTTGGGAACTGGCTGCTTCTACAATTTCTTTTTATCACTGCTCCTCACTCAGCAGTTTTGATTCTAATGACATACCACCACCATAATGACCATTTTTTGGTGTTTATTCTGCTATAGATTCATCAGACTTCATGGATTTATGAGATAGAATCAGATTTGGAAATGTTTGGCCATTGCTCCCATAATTTTTCTGTCCCCAGGTTTTTCCCGCTAGTATCCCATATACACATTTCTTAAGACAGTGATTGTCCCACAATTTAAGCCTTTTTTCTCTGCGCTTCATTGTTGATAGTTTTTTATAGTTGTCTTCAAGTTCACTGCTGTTTTCTTTTGTTGTGTCTAATGCTGTTAAGTCCATTCAATGACTTTTTATTTTCAGATATTGTATTTTCAACTCTAGAAATTCTATTTGTTTCTTTTTTATATCTTCCACTTCTCACTTCCTTATGTACATATTTTAGTATCCTTGTCTACTAATTCTTATCATCTGTTATTTTTTATTAATTTTTGAATTAATACAATAAAGTTTAATTTATAAATTAGGCACAGCTTATCTCTGTTATTTGAGTCTGTTTCTATTGACCATTTATTCATCTGGATGCTGGACATCACGAGTATTACATTGTTGAGTAGATTTTGTCATCTTTTAAAGGGTATGAGTTTTGTTTGGCTAAGATATTTGTTAAGTTATATATTTGTAGCTTACACTGATCCTTTTAAGACTTATTTTTAAGTTTCTTTAGGGTGAATCTGAAGCAGCCATTACTCTTAAGTGCTAGTTTAGCCCTACTACTAAGGCCTCTGATCTGTCTGAAGTCTCTACCTAGTTCCATGGCGTTTAACTAGGCCTCTCTAGTTAAACTGTGATTGGTCAGAAGTCAGATGTCATGTAACCTGGCGTGAGCTTTGGGTGTTGTTTAGTTTATAGCTCCATAGTAGTTTTTGTCTAGTATCATGGAGTCTGTCAGTGTATAAATAGCTTAGTATTTAGATGAAGAATCAGGAACACTCTTGTGTAGGTTCCTGGATCTCCTTACCTCTCCATACTCCGACTTGCAAATTCCAGGTGCTTCAGCCTTCCTAGGATAAAATTTAAAATAGACTAGATTTGAAAAAGTCATGTTTACTGAGCTGTAATTTACAGACGGTAAAGTTTACTCTTCTTAAGTATATAGTTTTACATGTTTTGACAGACATACAGTCCTGTTTACACTGTAATCACTGTCCATTGTGATTATACAGATAATGAGTATTTTCTATATATAGGCAATCAAGATACAAGAATGTTTTCATTATTCTCCAAAACTTCCGTTGTGTCCATCTACTCTCAGTTCTTGACAGTCACTGATCTCAGCTTGCTGACTCTCTAGTTTACTTTGTTCAGAAGATTGTGTAAATAGAACCGTATTTTCAACGGTTGGGAGGCAGTGTACATAATATTTTATGGACTAAGGGTTTTTACTTTGGTGGACACAGAAAACTGCTTTAAGATATATAAACCTGTTGTGATATATATATATATATATATATATATATATATATATGCCAATTTTAAAATAAAAGGTAAATAGCCATATATATATATATATATATATATATATATATATATCTCGTTTGTCCAAAAGACTGAATTTTATTTCTGAAATGAAAATGGAAAAAGCTATTTTACCTTTTATTTTAAAACAGGCAAATAGTTTAATAAAACAAAAAAGGCTAATACCTTATATGTGGGAAGTAAGGTCTAGTTTTTAAAAAAATTACCTAGGTGCTAACAAAGTAAAACTATTTGTGAGCCATCTCTTTGTGTCTATATATCTCCTCCCTCCTGTAGGGGAGACAAATGCCAAAGAGAATGAAAACTCCTCCCCAGTGATTGGACCGTTTGGTGTATTCTCGACCATCTCGACTGCTGTTCAGAGCACAGTGAGTATAAAGTGCAAGGTGTCCTCCTCCCTTCCGTGACACTGGGGTTTCTGTCCCTCCTTCTTCCTTGAAAAGCCATGGGACTAATTACTCTTATGGCATTCCAAATCACTGAAGATCAGTTACTTTGCTCTTAGGGATAGAGTGAGAACTACTTGGAAACATTCTTTAAAGGGAGGAACAGGAGGTGAAACGTAACAGGCAGTGTACATAATATTTTATGGACTAAGGGTTTTTACTTTGGTGGACATAGAAAACTGCTTTAAGAAAACATTTTTCTCATAACTGCATCTTTTAGGCAAAGGTTAAGTATTATATATGATGGATACTTGTAAAACTATATATGACTAGAAACATTTTTTTTAGGATATTTTATTTACTTATTTATTTAATTTTAATTCTTTTATCTTTAGAGGGGAAGGGAAGGAGAGAGGAGGAGAAACATCAATGTATGGTTGCCTTTTGTGCGTCCCCTGCTGAGAACTGGGTGCAGGGAACCGGCCTGCAGTCCAGGCATGTGCCCTGACTGGGAATCAAACCATGATTGTCTGGTTCGCAGGCCCGTGCTCAATCCACTGAGCTACACCAGCCAGGGCAACTAGAAACATTTTTTAAAGGGTAATATACGTATATTTCCGATATGAGTGTAGATAGCTAGTACTTTCAAATTTTAACTTTTTATTGAAGTATAACACATTTACAGACAAGTGAAGTCCTAAGTGTTCAGTTTGAATTTTCATGATGTGAACACACTGAGACTAACAAGCAACGTGGTGGTATGTCAGATGGCCCCTAGCCTGGCTCCCTGTCACCCATGCCTTCTGCTCTTGCCTGTCAAGATCACCATAGTCCTGATATCTACCATCGTAGATTAATTTTGCCTGCTTTTAAACTGTGTACATGAATGGAATCGTACAGAATGTATGCTGTTGTATCTGGCTTCTTTCACTCAACATTATGTTTGTATGACTTATCCATGGTGAAATTTGTGTGACATATCTGTATTCTTTGCTGTGTTCGTTGTGTGACTGTGATATTTATTCATTCTACAGTTGGTGAGTATTGGGGTAATTTCTAGTTTTTAGCTTTTTTACAGAAAGGCTGCTGTGAGCATTCTTGTATGTCTTTTGATGAACCTCTGTGTAAACATCTACTGAGTGTGTAACCATGTGCGGAATTGCTGGGTCACAGGACATTCATAGGTTTAGTTGTAGTAGATGATGACAGTTTTTCAAAGTGGTTACACCAAGTTATATTCTCACAAGCAGTGTATCGTTGTTTCAGTTGCTTTATATTCTTGCCTGTACTTGGTATTGTAAGCCATTATTTTATATAGTCAAAACATGCAGGTGTCTTTTTTCAGTATTATTGTCATGAGATTGCATGTGTTTCCTAGGGAAAGACCGTTATCAGTGGGGGTTTGGATGCCTTGGAATTCATTGGGAAAAAGACAATGGATGTAATAGCAGAAGGAGATCCTGGATTTAAAAGAACCAAGGATCTAATGAACCGGAATTCTACACTGTCTCAGGTACTGTCTTGACCTGTTTGCTTCTTCTTTCTGGGCTGTTTAAAAATTATTTATTTGTTTTTAGAGAGGGAAAGATAGGGAGAAGGAGAGGGAGAGAAGCATCAGTGTGTGGTTGTTTCTCGCATGCCCCCTACTGGAGGCCTGGCCTGCAACCCAGACATTTGCCCTGACTGGGAATGGAACCCGTGAGCCTTTGGTTCATAGGCTGTCACCCAATCCACTGAACCACACCAGCCGGGGCCCTGTTTTTATATTGATCTGTATTTTTGCCTGTTGTAACTTGGGATGTTGTTAGCATTTCCTTTAGGGAAGTTTTAAATAACTTTTAAATTAAGGCTTAAAAAGTTTTTTTTTCGGTGTGGATAAGAGAGGTGGGAGAGCTCTGGAGGTTAGAAAACTCCCTTGTTTTTTTTCCTCTGCCTTTCCTTCCGGCAGGAGCCTCCTGTCAGTGCAGTATAAGATGCCAACTCCTTTCAGAGTTGTGTATTAGATTAATATTTAAATACTTTCAGAGAAACACCTGGTTCCTTGGGTTTATGTACCCTGTCTGGAATCAAATTATGTGTGATCATTTTTCCCCTGCAGCTCCTAAGTCTAGTAGATTTGAGTCGCAATGCCAAGAAGGAAAGGGTAGTAGGTTTATACTGTTACCCATCTCAGCTTCGCTTCCCTGGACTCTCAAAACTCACCCTTGAGCTCTCATTACTTGTTGCAGGGTAATGCTTCTCTCTCTCTTTCAGGTTTTACGAGAGGCGAAGGAGAAAGAAGAGCAGTGGACCACCAATGAGGTTACTATGGAAACGGACAAGAAAACTCATTATGGGCTACTCTTTGATGAATTTCAAGGCCTTTCACATCTGGAAGCTCTGGAGATGCTTTCCCGCGAAAGTGAAGTAAAGGTAATTCTAACTAAACCAGAAATTTCAACTGGAATAGTCTTTTAATAGTTTCTTTTCTTTTTTGTAGTTAGAAGATGAAATTTCAGGTGGAGCCTTGAGACTCTGAGAATACTGTGAAACGAAGTACTCTGAGAAACAAACTAACAACTAATGTTTGAACTAATTGCTAGAAACAGAATGAGTCAAGTGCTATTTCTCTAAATTTAAACAAAAAGGAGAAATTAACAAAAGTCTTAGTAGCACATTTGTTATGTTTTCTTCACCTTGATCTTTTTTTTTTTTTTTTTTTTTGGCTTAAGCTGCCAATTTGGATACAGTTAACTGTTAGCTTTTAATTAATTCAAGACTTTTATGTTCCCCCTAATTTCTAAGCCATTGTTAAACACTAATAATTTGCAGACATTTCTGTCTTATATTATTTTTGGAAGTACAGATTCTACCTTTCTGTAATGACCAGCTTGTATTAAGGTTCTTAAGGAATAGAGTGTGTGTTGGCTAGTGAGCTCATAATTTGATTTTAATTTGATCTATAGCCTCTTCTTCATTTGAGAATGTTTTTCATCTTTTATATTCCTACAACTTATTATTTTATGTTATATTGATTCAGGTGAAATCTATCCTTAATTCTCTAAGTGGAGAAGAATTAGAGACTCTAAAACTTGAATTGGATCAACTGAAAGAAGCATTTTCTCTAGAAGAGTTCTCTGAGGAAGAGGAGGAAGAGAAAAAAGGTAATAGGAAAACCCAGCATGTGAGTGGGAAGGCTGTGTGTAGTGTGTTTAAATGCATTATATTGCCCTTAAAATAAATTGCTTTCTCTCTGATTACACAAGCCTGATTTTACTTTTTCCGTTCAGAAGTTTCATGCAGATTCTCCGCAGCCTTGCCCCCCGACTAGACATTGTTGTGAGCAGCTGGCCTTATGTGTGTGTCTGCCCGCCACAACTCTCTGCCCCAGACTCTGTGGCTTCTCCACATAACAACACATTGTAACAGACTGGATGTAAAAAAGATCTAAAGACCTGTCTTTAAATTAAACATTAAAGAGGTTTGCAAAGATCTAAAACGTGGCACTTGTATCACCGAAATTTTCCTTTTTCGGAAAATATAATATTCTTAAAAAGTATGTTAATTATTTTTTAAGGTATATTATTTGTGTTAATGAGTAGTGTGGTTTTATTGTTATTTTAATGAATACTTCAAACATTTTAGTTTTAATTTTTAAAATGATGAATGTTGGTTTAATATATAACATACATTAAAAAAGTCTTAGGGGCTCTGAGAAAGTTTTAAGAGTGTAAAGGGGACCAAAAGGTTTCAGATCTGCTAGGTTAAATTCTCATAAACTGCTGTACTTCTGGAAATGTCTCTAATTGTTTTTTTAAAATTGTGCATTGTTATTTCCTTCTGTGCATTTATCTGCCCATTTTAACATTCTCTTCACTATCATTGAGCTTGCTCCTGATTCTCTTCCTAACCCTCATTTCTATTTCTAATCTGTTATGAGTGGAAAACCAGATAACTCATTTAAGTCATGTGTTAAAAGCAGAATGCTTTGAGTGATACTCTTAGGATCTTTCTTGTGAGAGAAGGAAGTAGAGTTGAATGTGTGGATTCTGGACTCAAATGCATTTTTCTTTTTTATTCCCATTTGTGTTCTGCGCTGTGTTCTAGGAAGTCAGACTGGTTGGTTATATAACATTTTTGCTAAATGACATCTTAACTCTATGTCAAGAATCCTGATAAATGGTTTTTGAAAGTAAGCATTTGAAACAGTCTCGTGGTATTGAGAAGGCAATACCTCAAGCATGGTGGGTGAAAGCTGGGCTTAGACCTGGGTTCAAAGTCAAGATCTACCATTTACTAAGTCATGCAACATTGGGAAGTTACTTAACACTGAGTTTCCGTTACCTCAACTATGAGAAGAGGATGCTGTCTTCTCAGATTGTTATAAGGAATAAGTGAAATATTATACATAATTTGTGCTACACAATAAACACTCAACAAATGATGGCTGTTATTTTCATTATTGGGATGGCATAAGTAAATACAGGGTCCCGGAGAAGTAAGGCGGCTTCTCCTCAAGAAGAGGTTGGGAGGGTAATAATTGGGTGCAATAAGTTATAGTTTTAATTTGAACATATACCTAAAATGTCATTAGTGCTGATATTGTCACATTATAGAATTACATGCTTATGATTTTATAATAAGAGATTTTTTAATTAAAAAGGGGCATTATTTTTGCTGGACCCAGTACATAAAGATCTGCATTTTAAAAGTCTCACTTAGCAGGAAACCCATAAATTAATTTTGATTTGCTTAAGTTTTTTTAGTGTTCCTAATGACAATCCCTAGTTATTTATAAACTTAAGTTGTTTGTACATAGTGCCATTAACAGTATTTGTTCAACTTAGTCAACATCTGGCTTTGCATAGTAATCAGAAGTCTCGATCTTTAAATACCATTCAGAGAACTCTGAGGGAGATTTGAAACAGATCAGTTTGTGTTCTGTGATATTTTTCTCTTCAGTTCATTTGCCAGAGATAAGGACTCTGCAGAACTGGCAGTGGAGGCTGCATGCCCTGTTCCTACAGCCCTCCCAGTGATTTGGGTTGGGAATGCAGCCTTGGCATTTAACTGCGTCTCAGTGAAGTGGATAAAAAAAGAAGTGGTGGTAGCAGAGGGGAGAGAAAACCACAGAAGCTGGTTCTGGTGATGCTGGTTATCTTTATAGCGGTCAGCCTATAGCCCTCGCCCCTGTTTTACACAGCTGATCATTTTGCTTTGGAAGGAGACATCCTGTTTAGGGAGATGTTAGCCTGTCTCCTGAGTCCCTCTAAAGTACTGGCCCTGCCTCCTTTCCATCCTTACATACTTTTTTATTCTAGTGCAACAGTTGCTTTTTATGCTCAGGTCTATGGGGGAATACAAGACAATGGTCTCCAAACATTTTTTCATCAACCCTTAGCAGTAAGAGTTTTTTGAGCGCTTAGATCTAATGTAGCCATATTTGAATATTTCTAAATTATACACATGTAATACTATAATAGTATATTGTTTACATTCTAAAGTATGCCCTAAAATAGAATTTCTAAAAGAATGAGACAAATGTCTATAAATTAAAGTTTTATATTTTTCCCCCTGTACTCTATTGGATTATTTTGTGAACTCCTTTGGGTGCATGTATCCTAGTGTGGATTCAGATTCATCCCTTGCACTCACATAATTTTGAGCTTAGCTGGGAAAACAAAATGCCTGCCTAAGAATCTGGTTTCATACTTTGAGACAGATATGATCAGGAGTTGCTTCTGTGAGTTCTATCAGTTATGGTAGTATCATTTAGTGAGGTTAGCTTTTCCCAAAACCATTATACCCAGGATCACTAAGCCTTTGACTTCTCTGCTTTAACTGCCAAGAGAAGGACAAAAAAAATGGCAGATGGCGAGAGAGCCAAGATAGAATTTTTTCCCTAAGGATTTTGAAGAAAAAGCTGCTATGAAGCAGTAGTAATTGTCTCTGATAAACCATGAGCTGGTGCCTAGGAAAGACTCATATGGATTGTTAGTGGTAGAAGATTTCCGTGTGTGAGTTCTCTATGCATTCTGTAGTACAGAGAAGCCTTGGGCGGAGCTTCAAAGGGGATATTGGATAGGATTTAGATGGAAGAGTGGAAAAGATAGTTTTTTGCCATTTGTTTGTGTGTGTTGATTGTTTTTGATCTTGACTCACCTGTTTACATGTACATTTCCATAATACGAGTATTCCATGTTCCCCATCATCTTCCACCAGGCCTATTCCAACAGCCTCCTTACTATCCTTTCAACATTCCAGAGTTTCTTTCCTCTTTCTTTTTACCCACCATTACTTTTCACCTGCATTCTAGATTATCACCTTAGCTTTCTTGCCTCCCTTCCTGCTCCCCTTTCAATCTGCCCCTCTCCCCCAGGAGCCAAAGTTGACCTTTCTAAAATTTAAATAGGACATATCTGTCTATGTTTAAAATCATTCAGTGGCTCCTCATTTGCTTAATTAAAAGTTTGAGTTCCTCAGCATGGTTTTAAGGCCTTGTATTACCTAGCTTCACTTTACCCTTGTCCTTTCTTTTATATTAAGACATTCCCAAGCCCTGGGTGGTGTGGCTCAGTGGATTGAATGCTGGCCTGCGAACCAAAGGGTGGTGCTGCTTTGGTTCCTAGTCAGGGCACATGCAGTCAAGGTTCTCAGTAGGAGGTGCGCCAGATGCAACCACACACTGAAGTTTCCCTCTCTTTCTCCCACCCTTCCCCTCTGTCTAAAAGTAAATAAATAAAATCTTAAAAAAAAAAAGACACTCCCAGCCATATTAAATGTCTAACCATGCTTTTTTTCACCTTGGATCTTTGTACTTGTTTTCTATATTTGAAACTCTTTCCATTCTCCTAACTAAACTTGTACTAATTTTTGGGGTCCAATTTAGGATTTATACTGGGACACTTCCTTGGAAGCACATGCATAGTACTTGCTTAGGACTCTGCCTGCACTAGTTGTCCCTTTATACTTCTGGGATGTAATACACAGAGCACAGGATTTGAGCTGGGGGTAGAAAGGCCAAAATTTGACTCCTAATTTGTTATGAGATTTATGGGAAATAAATTAATGTCTTCAAGGTCTAGTTTCTTCACCTCAAAAATGGGATAATGACACACTTTTTATAAGGCCATTGCAAGAATTCATTGATATATTTATCAGAATTCTATAGGCACGAAGACACTGTGCTCATAGTTACTGCTATTATACTGCTATTAATACTACTGCTACTACCATTCCTCTTCTTGTCGTCTTCTCATCCCACCCTTCCTGTCCCCATGATCCTCACTCACCCATCTATCTACAGTGTTTTTATTGGACTTTTCTTTTTTTTAGGGGATGAAGACTTTACCAAAGAGATAACAGAGCTGTTTTCCCAGCTTCATGTCTCCTCCAAACCAGAGAAACTTGCCAGGGTAAGTGATTACTTCTTGGTGATTTTCTTTCTTTTTCATTTTTTACTTGCATGGATTCAGTGGATAAAGAAGGTAAGACTGTAAATACCTGGCAAGGATGTCACCAAAATCGAGGGTATATTCTGAGTTTCATACCTCCTGCCTGCTTCCTGCTCTCACAGGTTAGCTTGCTGAACTCACTTTCGCACCCCCTCCCATTTCCCTGAACACACACCTGTGCCATCCTCACCTGTTTTTATTTGGAGTGCTTTGGTTGTCTGAAAGTTTAAATTAGGTCACAGAGTTGGTTAGCTAAAGTTGGCAGTGCTCACCAGCCTTCATGATACCAACGGGCCAGCCTCTGTTGAGGTTTTAACTTTTGGCAGTGCTCTGAATGTTTCAGAGAACATTTCAGGATTGTGGCCCTAGCCCTTAGGAAGCTAGAGGTTGCTATTTCCTAGAGCCCAAGGACTCAGGTAATGACCATTTAGCTTGTGGAAATAAGAGAGTCCCATGGCCTAGGCCTTGGTCGTAGATGGTGGTTCCTGAGCTGTCTTTACACATCTGGACTCTGAGGGACTTCAGGCAAAACTTGTTTCCAGAGCAGCACCCACATAGTTTATATGCCAGTGTCAGCTAACGGGACACTATTAACTGGATTTTGGGCTGCTTGCTGCCTCTTCACCCTACTCTCTCGATCTCCAGAAACATTTTGGGACCAGTTAACATCAGGTATCCATTGCTTCCTAGCCAGGGACGGCTGGTAGCCCCACCTTAAAGGCTCAGCCCCAATGCTATATCTGTAATAAAAACTGTGCTCCCTTCAGTTCTCAGCTAAAATATTCTCAGTCTTCTCTGGATGCCTGTTGCCTGGTTACATCTCTGAACACATTCTGTCTATAAGTTACTTAAGTGGATGCCTTCATTTAATTACAATAAACATTTCCTTAGGAAACCAGGACTCTCTAAGTTGCAAATGACAGAAATTCAAGTCAGACTGGCTTAAGAAAAAAGGCGCATTTGTTAGCTCAAATCTAAAATCAAGGGGCAAGACTGGCTTTAGGCATGGCTGTCCACCAGAAGCCTGCCCGACTCCATGTCTTGACCTGCTTTCTCGTTTGGCTTCATTCCTAGGGAAGCCTTTCCACATGTTTGTAAGGTGACTACTGAAAGCCTCGGGGTAACTTTTTCCCGTTGAGTAACTGCAACAGAAAGATTCCCCTTTCGCAGTGATTTTATCAGATGTCCTTGGGCCGATGCCCACTCACCTGGCTTAGGTCACTCTTTCTTCCATGAACTAATAATCACTGGGCTGGGGATTAATATTGTTAGTAGCTAAACCTGAATGGTTTGTCAGCCCTTGGAGCCAGAGGATGGAAGCAACCCCACCCGTACCACATAGAGCCTGTGGTAAAAAGAGTACCTGTTCTCTGCAGTGTGCCAGGCACCACGTGTGCATATCCAACTGACACTCTGCCGCTATTCTCTAACAATGTAGTTTGTTAAGGAGGTAGTCCCGTAGTAAATGTCTGTGTGTTTTAGTAAGTACTAATGAAGGTATACTCAGAGGACCGTGGCCATACAAGGAGGAGTTGTTTAGATGGCCAGTCTCCTGGAAGGCCCTTGAATGTTACCTGGAAGAGATGATGTTTGAGTGGAGGGACTGAGCAAAAAGGAAAAAGGACTCATGGACGTGGACAACAATGTGGTGATTGCTGTGGGGAGGAGGGTGTAAAGTTACTAAATAGTAATGGAAAAAATACAATAAAGATTAAATTACAAAAAAAATAAAATTAAGAGCTATCCTGATTTAGGAGGAAAAAAAATGGGAAGGACATTCTGGACCAAGAGGATAGGTGAACAAAGAGCAGACATGTTATAGGCCGTTAGTACTGGATCATCAAGGGGAAAGTGGTAAGAGATGAAGCTGGAGATACAGGGTTTTAAATCATGTGAAAGAATGTGATCTACTTGATGAGGAATGTTTGTCGAAGGGAAAAGGAATGATCAACTCTGGGCTTATGTAGAATCACTGGTAGCACTGTGGAAGATGGATTTAAGAAGAACCAGATCAGAAGCAGGGAGACCAATCAGAGGGCTGTTGCCCCAAATTGGATCTGAATTTAAGCAGTAATAGAGAGAAAGAGGAGGGGCTGACTGGAGAAGTATGTAGAGTAAAATCAGACCATCTTGGTGACTGACTGGGAAGGAAAGAATTTGGGTGGCTCACGTATGTTGGCTTGGGTGACTGATATGTTTGTTCCAAAACTTTGGGAGAGAAAGGCAATTCAAATTTTGTACGTTTTATATGGGAAGGTCCCATAGGTCCATCATCAGAATGGGTAAATTGTAGTGTGCGTATAAAATGAAATACACACAGCAGTAAATAAGCATGAACTGCTGCTGATGCAACAATTGTGTGGATAAATCTAACAGGTAGCATGTTGTGCATAAGAAACCAGACACAAATTAGAACGTACTTACAATTCCATTTAACATGCATTTTAAGAGAGGTAAAATTAATTTATAGTGAGACAGGAGGGTGGTTACTTTTGGGTAGGGCGAGGAATACTCCCTTTGAGCAGTTTTCACTAGGAAGGGGTTTGGGGGACCTGCTAGGATGATGGAAATGTTTCTTTATCTTGATCTAGGTCACAGATGCATAGCCATGTGCACATGTAAACAGTTCTTGAGTTGTGCTCTGAAGATTTGTGCACTGTACTGTATGTAAGTTATAGCTCAGTTTTTAGTATATGCCAGGCACCATGCTAAGGACAGCAGTGTTAAGTGTTGGAGAGAGATCTAGTAAGTTAAGTACTGAAAAGCCAGATGTTATAAACACGAGCATCAGCTTTCATGATGCCGACATGTTCTTGGTCAGTGCACAGTAATCTTGGTGAGCTGAATTGATTTGTTGATAAATAGTAATCATTTCTTCTATTCAGGCAAGAAATACAGCCTATGAATGGATCAGGACATCTCTGGAGAAGCCATTAGAAGAGAAGGAAGAAAGAGAAAAACAGTTGGAAGGAGAAAAAACTGAACAAATCACTAAAAATTCAATAGAGGTAACCAAAGCAATTAAGGTTTTTGTTTTTATTTTTTTTCCTTGTTAAAGTTTTGGGATGTGAGGGTATTGCTGTCAGGGACCTAAAGCACTCTGCATTTTGTTGCTCTGCCAGCCATGATTTCTAACTTGTCTTCCAAGATTACGTCATCTTAGTTCCCGACTGTAGGGTGGAAGGAAGGAGTAAAGAAAAAGAGACGAAGGGTACATGCGTGGTGTCCTGAGGCTTTCCAGAAGCTGCCACAAGACGCTTTAAATCTTTTGGCGAAAACTTAGTCCCATTTCACACCTGACTTCAGGACAGCCTCTGTTTTTGCAGCTGTGAGTCAAGATGTAGTTACATGACTACTGTGGAAGAAGAAGAGGTTCACTGAAGGGTTTCCAGACACTGAATCTTTTAAGTATGAAAGAAAAAAGGTGGTGTCATTTCCTCCAAGATTAAAAAAAAAAGAAACCTATGCTATGCTTTTCTTTGCCACCCAGGATATCCATGCATTTGCAATTCGGAGCCTAGCAGAACTGACTGCCTGCTCAATTGAACTGTTTCACAAAACAGCAGCTCTGGTTCTGCATGGGGGGAAGCAGGAAGTGACAGCTATGGAAAGAAGCAGAACCCTTTCCCAGTGAGTACTCAGTATCCCTCTAAATGTTACAGATTGCTGAAAGTTTTCTCGGCTTATTTTCAAAATTTTAGAAACTTTACTTGTCAATAAAATGCACCACTATTCACACTGTATCATTCACATATTAGATGTTTGCTTATTTTGGGTTTTAGTTAGTATGTAGCCAAGTATGGTATTTCTTTTTACTGAGCCATTAAGTCTACATTATAATTCTTCCCTTTTTATTAACTACTTTTTACTTTAAAAATTAGTTCTTCTCAGATTATTAGCTTTAGTAGGAATAGGATTTTATATAAATAAAAGCAGAAAACAGTTCTAAGAATCTCAATTCTGTATAATTAAGTTACTAAGTGCTAAGTATATGCCAGGCACCATGCTAAGGCATTTATATGTATCATTTCCAATTTTTATAACAACCCTAGATGATCAGTAAAGCTTTAAATGTGAAGAAGTACAGACTTAAGAGAAGTAATCTGCCCAGGTTATGCAGACTAGGAGTTAAACCCTTTTTTTCCCCACTATTTTGGTGATTTAACAAAAATTTCAAAAATATCCCTGGCTGGTGTGGCTCAGTGGATTGAGTGCCGGCCTGTGAATCAAAGGGGTCGTTGGTTTGATTCCAAGTCAGGGCACATGCCTGGGTTGCAGGCACCATGTTCCTGGTGGGGGGCATGTGAGAGGCAACCACTCCCCCTCTGTCTAAAAATAATAAATAAATAAGTCAAATAATGGAATTTATGTAGTCAAAGCAGGGAAAAGAAGAGCTACTACTTTTTAAATAAATCTCTTAATTGAATAATGAGAATTTCCACTGAAAAGATGTGTGAGAGTGTCCGGCCTGCTGCAGTTGGGAGGGGCCTTCGATGTCCTCCAGGCCTCTCTTTCACCTGCAGTTTGGATGCCCCTCTGTAACATCCCACCAAGAGAGGCCTGGCTTCGTCTTGCACACCCTGAGGATGGGGGACTCAGAACCCCAGAGCAACCTGCTCTGGGGAAAAATGGCTATTTCTTCTGCTTGGAATGCTCATCCAGTCATGACTCACTTTCTCACTGAATGCAGGCTTCCACTCGGTGCTGCTTCCTTTCATCACCTAGTCCAAACTGGTGTCTTCTGCTGTTTTCTAATCCTTCGCTTGCTTTATTTTCTTAGCTCATATCACCACCTAGTGTATGTGTGTGTGTGTATGTATATATGGATGTATGGGTGTGTGTATGTTTATATATATGTTTATATGTACAGTATATATGTGTGTGTATAAACACATACACACCTCCATCCATCTATATATACATATATAGTCTTTCCCTTAATTAGCAAGTGGGTTAGAAGCCATGAAAATTGGGACTTTGCTTGTTTACTGATCCATTCCCAGGACTTAGAGTCAGGCACAAAGAAGACTTTCAAAAAATATTTGTTGAATGAATGCATATTTTATCTATATTTCTAAATGGAATGTAGGATCTTTTAAGCATCATCTTGTCTCTTTAAAATGTATTTTATTTTCTTTGATTTAACTTAAAAGTAGATTACTTTCTAGAGGATTTTGTAGAAAAGTGTTTTTCAAGGAGAGAACCTCCTCTTCCTGTTGCGTGAATGCTTACTCACATGGGTCCCCAAATATGGTAGGCAGCTGACTTAGGCGTATTTACTCCCTTTGAAAGCTTTCTTCTTTCACATTTAGTTCTAGGAGTGATTTGTTTTCTTGTGTCAGCTGTTAAATATAGCTTATTAAAAGACAGAGAGAAGGAAAAGTGAAAAAGGAACCCTCCTGACATTTCTCCTTTCTTTTCTAGGGTGACAGTTGTGCTGTGTAGAGAGCTGTCCACTCTGTCTAAAGAGCTGACCACCTGCCTAACAGCTGCTGGGGTGAGGGTTCCCGCCTGCCGGGGGGCGACTGTCTGTTTCGCTTCGTTTTTCAAAACACCTTTATTAAGATACAGTTTACATGCCATAACATTTGCCCATGTCAAGTGGACAATTCAGTGGTTTTATAATATATTTATAGAATTGTGCAACCATTGCCATAATTAATTTTAGACTATTTTCATCATTTCCCAGAAAACTTCATACCATTACCAGTCATTCCCTTTCCCTCATATTCTTCTATCCCTAAGAAACACTAATCTACTTCCCATCAATGGATTTGTCTGTTCTGGATATTTAATATTAATGGGATCATACAATATATAGTATTTTGTATGTGGTTTCTTCACTTAACATAATCTTCACTTAACATAACACAAGCTTCAAAGTGGGATCATACCCTGTTTTTTAATCTGCTGTGAGTATTTACCACTTCACCCTTTATTCTAGGTCAAAGAAAAGGCAGACATCCTTAATCCGTTAATTACTGCAGTATTTCTAGAGGTTAGTAGTAATTGTTTTTAAGTCTGGGCATTTTGTATTAAGTCTTCTTAAGTCTTTATTTTTTGGCTTTTTTGTTTTTTTTAATGAGATTGGTAGGTTAGCCATATTAATGCATATAGGACCGAAATGGTATGTATCTGATAAATATTCCCTCCTCATTAATTACAAAATATAAAAGATGAAGCTGCTGGGTAAAGTACACAGGAAAAAGTACTATAAGCTATCATTACTTCGTACTTGTACTTGGCAGTTAATGGACAACTCTCAGTGGGTAAATATGAAGGGCTGAAAACTAAAAACGGGGAAGCATTGCTTCTTAAAGAACTATGGTTTATGAGAGATGTATTAAAATGAAACAAAGTAGTTTGTCATTTTCTTGCCAAGAAATTTACTTTGTTTTGTCAAAGGGGTAACCGCGATTACATAATCCTTAGTCCATTAGATAGGAGGAGGTGGGTTGTTTAAATCCATGAAAAGGGGGTGTTCAAGAGGACCCACGATGGATTATATTGCTTCTATGGGTGACACTTTCTGGAGTCCATGTTTTAAGAACTCTATCTTATAAATTAATTGTGTGAACAATTTAGATGTTTGATGATTTGTTTAAAACATGTATGTAAGTCTGGGGGTGGGGAGAAAATATATTTGATAATTGGTTAATATGAATTGAAAAAGACTTTTTTTTTTTTGCTTTTGGACTGTTACTTTAGTTTTAAATTATTTTAAAGTCACCATCAATGAAACACCTTTAATTTTTTTAACTGCACAATTTACCTTGAACAGTCAGAGGGATTATTCTGATCGACTAAACAACCTTTTTTAAAGTAAGTTTGTGATTTAGTGGATGGCAGAGCAGTGTAGGTGAGAGAAGTTTGAGGACCAGGAGCCCAGCCCTGGCAGGTCTTCCCTGGTTTTTGCTGTATGACTAGACACCAGGCATTTATTTATCTTCTTGGCAATCTCATTTTCTTTATTTACAAAATGAGAAATTTAACTGGAGAGTCTCTGAGGTCTGGTTTGGCTTGAAAATTTGATATCGGATGTCTTGCTGAAGATTAATAGTAGGAGTACTTGCCATTGGTAAACTCAAAACAGGTAAACTCACTTGATATGGGTTCTCTGTTGCTATTGTGAGTTAGTTGTTCTTGCTTACAGATTTGAAACATATGTCCTTACAAGTATATGTTTTATCTTAATGTAATGAACTTTGTTGTTATTCTTTTGGAAAATCAGAATTTGTCAGATATAAAAGAAGTCTGACAAAATCTGAGCATGATTTCATAAGGCTTGTTATACATAAATTTGTTGTACTGGACAGAAATATATCTACACTGTATCATCTTCGAAAGCCGTATTCCTGTTTATATTTGTGAGCACCTATCTCATGTTCACTGATTGTAAGTCCATAAAAGAGGAATTATCGCAATGAGCTGGAAATCTTATTGGTGTAGGTTTTATAGGCTTGTGAAATCCTCTTTGAGTAATTGACTAAAATGCTGTGACAGGATCTTTGCATTCAATCAAGGAATAAATAAGCTTTGATTGCCAGGTTTGAGCAGGATGCCAAAGAATGGCTATTATTTCTGATAGACGAGTTGGACAAAACGCTGACTTTTTTTTTTTTTGGTGCTTTCATGCCATCTTAAGAGTTAGATTATTCTTTTCCTTTGTATCTTTACTGAAATGGTTAAGTCTACCCTTATTTGCCAGGCTTCAAGTTCAGTTAGATTTATAAAAATTAATCTTTGTTGTTGCTGTCATTGCTGTCTTATGGTATATTTTTGAAGTGACTGCTTTTTTCTTTTTCTTTTCCATTCCCAACAGGCATCAAATAGTGCTTCTTATATTCAGGATGCCTTTCAGCTCCTCTTACCTGTGCTGGAGATCTCACTCATTGAGAACAAGACTGAGTTGCCAGAGGAATGAGCTGCAGGGCCAGAAGTCTTTGTCAGAACATTGAAGAACAGAGAAGACTGACCTGAGACTTGTGATGGCCGAGAAGTGCCCTTCTGTTTTGGGTACCCTTGCAGAACCGAGGGAGGAGAGTTATGTTAGCATGTAAAAATTCAGGCAGGGTAGTTTCACAGGAAGTTCGTTGCCTTCACTGTTTGGCTGACGTATTCAGATTCTCACACTGCTCTCCCCAGTCGTTATAATTAAGAAATTATTTGAAATAAACTTTTTAAAGAATGTTCAAAAATATTATCTCTAGGTAAAGGTGAGTGGGACATTCAGGAAAAAATATTGGTCTTGTCTTTGATTGTGCAGAACACTAATGATTTTGTTAAGGATACGATTTTGTAGCCCATGGATATGATTGGTTATTAAGCAAGAGAAAAAGTACTTAATTTAACCTGGAATTCATGTGCTTGATCTGTTAATGTCATGCACTTTCTTTCTTTAATAAAATCGATGGCTTTAAGAAACCGAGCATATATAAACTCTGTGATGATTACCCTTTATTACACAAATTCTTGGAATTGGTTAGAAAGTTTCATCTGCTCTTTAATTCTCAGCAGATAGTTGGCATTGAAGAAAAGTTATTGAGTATACTTGTAGCCCCACGAATTAACTATAGCAATAGCAATGTGCCCTTTGGCTTCAGATTGCTCTCCCACCCCAAGGTGACAAGCTCCAAGTTGTAGTTGACCTCTACTCAACTGATTCAAGACCAATAGTGCCATTTAGAGAAACAGTGTTATGTTCGCATGCGTTCTGAGTCTCTGCAGGATGTTTTCCATGCATGTCCCGTGTGCAAGATAAATTCTGTAAGAGCCAGCTCCAAGGAGTGTGGAAGCACTTTTAGTAATCGGGTTTTGGCTCTTCGAATGTTGTTGAGGTGGACTGTAGAGTCCTGTAGAAATGATGTTCATTTGTAACAGGATTCGACCTGTTGGGTATGGTATATTTTTCTTCATTCTTTTTGTTTTAATGTATTCTTCAGCATGTTTATAAATACAACTTTATCTTTTAGGTCTTCAGCCTCCTTTTTGTTCTCTTTGATAATTTAAGAGAGTAAAAGGGTGTTAAACAAGTATATTCTACAAGTTATTTTGGCATTTTCTTTTTTAGAAAGTTGTTCAACTTTGTGATTTTTAATGATTTAGAGAACTTTTGTGAGTTCTACCATTCATCTGCTAAAATCTTTAAATAAAATGAGATAATTGTTTTAATTGATTCCTTTATTTGTTTAAATATGAGCCCTGATATCTTTCTTAGACCAAAGAAATCGCAAAACCATAACAAAGACTGATATCAAGACTGTCTCTGTGTAGGGGTAGGGGGGCAGAGCCAACCACACAAAAATGTAGCTCTGCTTTTATTCTCTTCTCATGTGATCAGAAAAATTATTGACTATTTCTTTCTAATAGACAAATTTTATCCTCTCCAAAGTGAGTAATATTGCAGTTTCAGAAAAACAGTTGCCTCATTCTTAATAAAGTTAGTGTTCCAGTTCTGATACGTTGCCTCAAGCTCAGTTGCTGGGTCTGAGCTTGGAACCCTTGAGCAGGGTGCTCTGTGAGGAAGATTGAGAACCGGTCACACACTGCCGACTGCCTGTTCAGACTCCTGTAAACTGAAAGTCTGCAGTTTTTACTCTTTGATCCAGAGACACATCTAAGGCTTTTCTTTCAAGAAGAGGGATATATAGATGTGAGGGACAGAACGGTAACTCTCTTGATGTGTCTAACTAGAATGTAGTCCTGAATTTGACCAGTTTCAGATAAAACTTTACAAAAGCCAGGTGTGACTCGCTGCCTTTTTTTCTTCCTCATTTCTCTCGTTAGCTTCCCTCCATCCACCCAAAATATTTAGGAGACCACCAGTGAAATGACAAAAGGACCGATTAATTCTGAATAACACCTAAAATATACGAAAAATAAAGTTCCTTGATTCAGGAGAGATAGAAGAATAAGAGCGTATAAACCATGCATTCTTAGGTAAATAGGCCAATTCAGGGGACATTTTGGAACCTACTGGATTGTGATAATGGTTTTTGGATGGCATCTGCTTCATTATTCTGTTTGAGGTGGGTACATGATGTAGTTTTTTGATGATACCTACTCTTTTGGTGCTTAGTTTTCTGGTGTCTAAGATTTCCTGTTATGTCCTAATACACGCTACCACCCTTTCCAATTCACTTAACAAGTCAATAGGTAAAATGTTCAGTTATAGCTGGAGTAAATGCTTCTTTTCCTAGTACTGAGATCTTTAGAAGCTATGATTAAAAAGAGACTTTATAAATTTGATATAAAAGAAAGGGACCTCCATGAACTAATTCCTGTTGTATTTTCCTCTTTATGTAGTACCTCAGAAACTTGTTGGACAAGCTATTTTTTCTTACTGCTTTTGATGTGTGTGTATGTGTATAAATTTTTTTAAGGCATAGATACCCAGATTGACAAGCCTCTGAAATGTGAAATAGTAACTCATATAGGAGGTATTCCCACAAATCTGAAGTTATCTCTCACACACACACACACACACACACACACACACACACACACACACACTTCCCACAATCAGGAAACAAGACTTGTGGGTTCTCCACCTGAATGAGGACTCTCTCTTTGTATTTGTCTTTATCTAAAGACCTGCTTGAGGGAGAGATGTTTTATAAATAGTTGCTATTGAGGTCATCATTTGAGAAAGACATTTTCCTGTATTTTTAGATGCATTATCAGTTATAAAGGTGAGCATATTCTTCATGTTGGGAAAATCCAGAATAAAATTGTAGCCTCAGTGAGCACCCAATAAGCGTATTTTACAAATGGTAAATATTGAAATCTCTCATTATGTCTTAACAGTGTGATGCTCATTTTCAGAAAAGACTTGCAGTATTTGAGAAATGAGGAAGTTCTTACAATAGCAGACCTCCTAATTAACATGTCATCAAGATCTCTGGCTAATGTGTATGAGGAGAATTTTGAGGACTCCCTCAATGGTGTCATTTTCGAACCGCGCCCTGCTACGCCTCAAGCACCAGTTCACTCGTTCCGCCCTGCTTTACTTCCCACTCCTGTTATTTCACTGTCTTGTTATTTCATCATTTGGTCAAATCCCCAAATTTGGTCAAATTCATATCTAACTATTGCTTCCCCAATCTGCTCTTCAGAGGAAATTTTTTTTAAAAATCAAGCATTCTTTGAATTCATTTGTCCTTGAAGCTAAAGACGAAGACCGCCCTGATGCATCGCTTGGCCCTCACACAACAGTGTTGAGTTTTCTAGACGTGGAAGTTTCTGACCGGCCCACTTTTGTGAAGGACACACGCAGAGACTACAAAGGGATGGGATGCTCTGTCCCTACTTGTCAGCCTCACCTGTGCCTCTCTCTACACACGGACCATTGCTATGCTTTTAATCTAGCTCTAAAGAGGAATTCATCTTCCCAACTTCATTGCGAATGCATTGATACGCTTAGATTCTTAGAACACTTTTAAGTTGGAAGGGGAGTATCTTGTAGCAGAGTTTCTTCCAGCCAGTCTCACCGGGGTGACTGGTGTAACTGACCTCGGCAGTTTCAGCCAAGCCTGTCGAGGCTTGAATTGTCTTCACAATAATTGTAGATGTTTCTGTCAGAATTCAAGAGTTTTTCTTAACTGTTTTCTTCCTTTACTTCTCCCTCACATACCATTGAGAATAATAAGAACTGCAGAGTCCGCATGTATGTTGCAAAAGTTTCCAAGTCAGAATTGAATATACACATTTTCATCAGTAAATCATCAGACACTTAAGTTACCTTTTTTTGGTCTTTGTTTTGCCTGCCCTGAGTTTCCAGCTTCTGGCATAGGGTCTGGCACATGGTAGGACGTATATGTTGGCTGACTGAAAGAAAAGGGAAGAAAAAGGAAGGGAGGCGGGGAGAGGGTGGCCTAGTGCTTTGCTGGTATTCGAGAATCAAGAGCTGAAATGGGACTCTCAGAAAAATAAGGTTAAAAGGCCTCATTTCACACCAGGAACAGTGAGTCCGCATAAGCAAGTGACTCCCCTGAAGTCACACAGCTGATAGGAGGCTCTGTGGGGACCTGAATACGACAAGTCTTTGGATGCCTGGCCCGGTCTCTTTTTACACCAGAGCCGCACCAGGGTTCTGCACACACTGACTGAGAGGCTACTCCCAGGCATGGGCTGGAGGACAAAATGCAGAATGTGCGGCCTCTGTCCTGTAGGAGGCCACGCTGGTGCCACTGGCTGAGCAGTTTCTGCATCACAGATGCAAAGCCTTATGTTATAATGAGTTGTGGGTGAGTTGGATGGACTCACCCCAAATCTGGTTATGATAGTTGGGTCAAGTCAGCATTGCAAATATTTGCAGATGCATCCATCAAAACCCTTAAATTGTTACTTTTGTTTTGGTGGCTTGTGTCTTAAGTGGCCAATTTCTGCTGTATATAGAACTGCAGATTGATCTGTTATTCATCAACCAGTAATACTTAACAGGACACTAACATGTGTGGAGCAGTTTGAATACAAGACACTGTGGAGTACACTTTTCTCTGTAAATCTTCCCAACTGCTCTGCTAGGCAGGACAGTGCCACCCACATTTATGAGCCTGCAGAGTGATGTGGAAGTTAGGAGCAGAGACATGCAAAATCAGATCTCGTCTCCCTCATTTTCTAACCCAAGGATCATGAGCAAGTGACTTAATCCCTTAAATGCAGTTTCATCATCTGTAAAATTGTTCTCATAATAGCACTTGTATTATAAAGTCATTGATAAGATTACACAAAATAATCTGTGTACAGCACTTAAAATAGTGCCTGCCACATAGCAAAATGAGCTGATGCTTCGTGAACACTGTGTGGCCTGCACTGTTCTGAACATTTTGCATGTATTCGATCCTCATCATGAAATAGGTACTAGGAGCATGCCCATTCGCAGATGGAAAACTGAGGCACAGAGAGGTTAAATAAGTTGCCTAAGGTCACCATACCCAACAAGTGGTAGAGTCAGGATCCCCACCCAGGTGGTCCGGCACCAGACTTCCTGTTTTTCACCATTACGTTACACTGATAGCTGCTGCCATAAGCTACCAGTAAAGAAATGTTACTGTCTACCAGCTACTTTAATACGACGATTATGCACCAGATTCAGAGAGTTAGTGACTTGCTGAGGTTGCACAGCTGTAAGGGTGAGAGCCCCTGCAGTGTGAGGTCGGGTTGTCTGGCTCCCCGACTCATGTTTGTTATATTTTACTTCTTTTAGGGGAGGAGCTCGGAGGTGCCTGTCTGGTGATAAATATGTGTAGGGGAACATCTGGGCAGACCATCGAAAGCCACTAGGAGCTGGCGTAGAAAAGGACAGTGGGCCGACAAGTCATGTTTG